CACGAACCACATCAGCTGCGGAATCTTCCAGCTGGAAGTGCTTGAGTACCACTCCCACCAGCAGGGAGTGAGGGACACCCTTACTCCTGTGAACCCTTATGTGCAAAAGCCCGCACCCATCTGCTTCCTGGTTGGCAAATCTGCACATCTGTTATCAATTGCTCCTGCCTTCCTGGGGCAGGGGCTGGACTAGGGGGTAAGTGCAGAGGCCGCAGATTGACTGGAGATGTCTGCCTTGGGGACTAGCCATCTGGGTGCAGAGCGTCTTCCAGCCCCCAGCACAGACCGGCGTGGCTCCTCCCTGGCCTGGCATACTCAGCACCCCCCCCCCCATCTTTCTCGGTCTCTCTGTGTATCTCTGTCTCTCTCTTCTTTCTCTTTTTCCAGCCGAATCCCTACCTCACCCACCCCCACCCCCACCCCTTCCCAATCTAGGAGGTTTGTACAGTAAACCCTGCATTTTGTGGAGTTTGATTTAACAGATTTGGCCTATAATGTGCAAAATTTCTGTATGCGAAAATTAATATCCTGTTAATTTTAAAATGCGTTTAACCAAGATTTACTTATAATTAAATCAGAGGTTCTCAACCTGCGGGTCTCGACCCCTTTGGGGGTCGAACGACCCTTTCACAGGGGTCGCCTAGACCATCGGAAAACACATATATAATTACATATTGTTTTTGTGATTAATCACTATGCTTTAATTATGTTCAATTTGTAACAATGAAAATACATCCTGCATATCAGATATTTACATTACGATTCATAACAGTAGCAAAATTATAGTTACGAAGAAGCAACGAAAATAATTTTATGGTTGGGGGTCACCACAACATGAGGAACTGTATTAAAGGGTCGCAGCATTAGGAAGGTTGAGAACCACTGAATTAAATTAACAGAGGGTTATTTTTTTTGTTATTGATTCACTGTTATTTTATTATTTTTGCTTAATTCTCACTTGAAAATATTTTCCCATTGATTTTTAGAGAGAGTGGAAGGGATGGGAAGAGACACAGAGAGAGAAACATCGATGTGAGAGACCCACGAGCCCCAACCAGGGCCGGAATCAAGCCGGCAATCAAGGTACATACCCTTGACCAGAATCAAACCCCAGACCCTTTAGTCCACGGGCCAATGCTCTATCCACTGAGCCAAACCAGCTAGGGCGATTCATTGTTATTTTTAACAAATTTTAGCAAATAGACCATATGTTGGGAAAAAACACTAATAATTTCGCCGACAGAAATAAATGTTACATATCTACAACTATAGTTTACATATTTAAGTCCAAGAGTCACTGCTCCTAAACAATGTTCCGGAACGATTAGCATGTGGTCACCCATCACGCAATTGGTTCTGTGTCTATTGGTGTGACTTTCTGCAGAGGCCCGTGTTCCAATGTGCACTGAGCCACACCCAGCCTGTGCACTGTTTACTCTCTGTGACTGGTGAGTGCGTGCATTTACTAGACCCATTCAGTATAAATTTAAAATTATAGTAATAGACATAGAAAATTTTCTGTGAAATTAAACTGTTCCTACATACTTGACTTTTAAAATATATATTTGTATTGGTTTCAGAGAGGAAGGAAGAGGGAGAGAGATAAAAACATCAATGTTGAGCCGAAACCGGTTTGGCTCAGTGGATAGAGCGTCGGCCTGCGGACCGAAAGGTCTCAGGTTCGATTCCGGTCAAGGGCATGTACCTGGGTTGCGGGCACATCCCCAGTGGGAGATGTGCAGGAGGCAGCTGATCGATGTTTCTCTCTCATCGATGTTTCTAACTCTCTATCTCTCTCCCTTCCTCTCTGTAAAAAATCAATAAAATATATTTAAAAAAAAAAC